ATGGTGGATACCACATTGTGATGAAAAACAACAACCACAAGTTCTGATTCACATATTCAAAGCTCACTCGTAATTAATCAATATCTCAAGTAGTTTCCCCCCGTGCGGGATTAAGGGGGGTTAGAGAGAAAAGAAGCGAAGCGTAAACTATCTCCATACAGGGTTTGAACCATAAAGGTCCTCTAAGTACACTACATCTTCTCTTTCTGGAATAGGCCTTTGTGCAACAGGCTGGGCTATGCGTTCCACGCCATTTCCTTGCCATTCTACACGAAAATGGTTGCGGAGTTGGTTCGTCAGGTACATCGTAAATCAGGTAGACATTGGGGTATGCACCCAGTGATTGTAGATTATCAGTAGATAGTGGTTTTTCTGCCCCCTGAGCCTCCATCATGACCACATCCTCCTCTCAAAAGAAAGCAGCTGCCTCGGCTCTCCTTAAGTCGTCTCATGCTCAATGAAGGAGGGCTGCTTCCCTGGCTTCGGCCACAGCTGCTGCTGCTGTATCACTGGCTTCAGTATCATCTCTTATTAAATCACCTCAGCATAATTCAATTTTAACTGGTCATGCTTGGGTTAGGGAGCTATTATGTGGACATCCTTGTTGATTCCATAATATGATGGGGCTTTCCAAGCCAGTTTTCCGCAGGCTCCTTCAAGAGCTCAAGAATCATGCAGGTTTTTGTCACTCCAAGCATATCTCAACAGAGGAGCAGCTTGCTATCTTTCATCAAATGTGTCGCACTGGTGGAACAAATAGGGATATGCAGAAGAGGTCCTAGCATAGTGCTGAAACAATATCAAAGTATGCATGTGTTTATTCTTTAATATCATTCACTGAGTATTAAACCTTGTTACTTATAGGATCTTTCACCGTATGCTCAATATGGTGGTTTCTCCTGCCTTTTACCGGAAATACATCAATCTCCCCCCTAATGAGGAGGTCCCTCCTGAAATCCGAGATGAGCCCAAGTTCTATCCCTTCTTTAAACAGTGTCGTGGTGCCATAGATGGTAGCCACATCAATATCTTTGTTCCTGAAGATGCTTTTACTGGATGCTATTGTAATTGGAAGGGTCGACTCTCTCAAAATATCCTTGCTGCTTGCACCTTTGACATGCACTTTTCATATGTCCTGTCTGGCTGGGAGGGCAGTGCTGCTGATAGTTGTGTGTACAACAATGCTCGGAGCAATGACTTTGTAATTCCTCCAGGTCTATATTATCTTGCGGATGCAGGCTTTCCCTCATGTGATTCCCTTTTGGTCCCCTACTGTGGAGTACAATACCATTTGAAGGAATGGGGTAGAGCTTCACAAAAGTCTTCATTTCTTTCACTTTGATATCTCAGCTCATACTTGTTATCTTTCAGGCCCAAAGACTTCAAAGAGCTTTTCAATTTACGTTATGCTCAAGCTCGTAATGTTATTGGGCGCATCTTTGGGGTGGTCAAGAGACGCTTTCAACTAATGGTTGCAGCTCCAGAGTATGCTTTGGAGGTACAAGCAAAGCTTGTTCCTGCACTTTGCGTTCTTCACAATTTCATACGAGTTCATAATCCTGATGGCAGTAACAATGAAGAAGGGGACAGCATAGGTGGTGGACAGAATAGTCAAGCTATGCGGCAGGATCAAAGGGATTATAGCCATGGCATCACACCTCAGGAAAAGGAGAGGGCAATACTTAAACGTGATATAATTGCAAAGGCAATGTGGGAACAGTATATCGCATATACTCAAACTGGAAACTAGTAATAGTAAAGCTATTTTAACTACATGCTATCAATCTCAAGATGGATGTAGTTGGATCAAAGGACATCATCAGAGATAGCAGAATATGCATCAGCAATGGCAATATTCTTGGTGAATAGTGCAATTGCTTGTGTGCGCTTAGCAGTGGCCAATGCATTATCAACACAAACAGCCTTGATTGCAGCAATTCTCCTCTTAGGTGTGCTGGGGACATCACCAATAAGCTGGGAAATACTAGGGTCAGGACAACTGAGTGATGAAGCTGCAGATGTAGGAGTGGGTGATCCAGAAGCTGCACATTTGCGTTTTGAGCTCTGAGACACTTCAATAGAATCCTAGAAGAATGAATAGTGAGGTAAAGTCAACATCAAGCCATATCACATACCTGAGACTTTTCTTCCCCATCCAAGTCTAAATCACTCTCTGGATGACCATCTGCTGTGCTCATCTTGATCCACTTGCTCCTCATAAGGATGAGGTGAGGGCAAAGAAGGCTCATCAATCTCTGGGATATGAAAAGCACCCTCACCAGTGGCATAGTGTCCATCAATGAGTCCAATTATATCATTGTAGGGTGGAAAAGGGTTTGTACGCCATAGCTTTGCTTCTGGATGGGACTGAGACAGATCTAATTGAGTACATCCCATACTAAATTATTGACTCTACACTTACTGCAATATAGTTATCCCACACATCTTCTTCAGCAGTTACTTTCTTTCTGGTATCATTCTATCCAAAACCAGACAGCTCTTGGAGCTGCTGAACAACAAGGCACATAGCCTTTAACTGTGATGATAAAAATCAGTACAATATATGTTATACAATGGTTGACTTACTGTTCCCCAATGTCGGCTACAATTTGTAGATGTCTTTGGTGCACCAGCACAACGGCTGCAGCAACAAAAGCTGGTTTTTTGAAATTATTGTCAGGTTGATTACCTTCCATTTGTGCCTCCTTCAATTTATCCACTAATGTGGCATCATCCTCTGATGTCCATTTTGCATTTCGGGGCTCTTTTGGGGCTGGACTCTGAGATTGTTGACTAGAAGGTTGGTTCTCTTTGTTGGCAAGGAGCCTGTTTTTCATAGATGAAATCTTGAGTGTGAGCTTTTGAGAGGTCATTGGGGGCTTTTGAGGTGGGTTTGAGAGTGATAGAGCAGTGTGAGCTATTGTAGTTTGAGTGTAAAAGTTGGGAACACAATTTGCAGACCGGTGTGACAAAGTTTTTTTGAAACGAGCTGAGTTGCCGAACACGTCAGCTCGTTCCAAAACGCAACTTTTTTGGCGGGTGACATTTTGAAACGGTGGCTGCTGAACAGGCCCTGACTATGTTTTATTAAAAATGCAAAGAAACTAGTGATCGCGAGAATCTTATCATTTGACTGTGCCCTTAGCTTCCATCTTGCTCACAGGGACCACTTCCACTTGCAGTGTGCATGTTTTGCTGGAGAACGACAGAGATTTGAGCTATCAATATCCTTATGAGGGTTTTTCTTCACTATGCCTCACAGGCCCCAAGGTATAGTTGAGTCTTGTACCCGGTGAATCTTCAGTTGAATAATCAGCTTATCCTTGGTGAGTCAATTCAGTTCTTCTTCATTTGGCGTCAGGACTATTGCTGTGGCATTGCATTCAGCCTCTCGGCTCGCCTTCTTCTGTGCTTCCTTCTGCTGCCTCTGCAACCCTCTGCCTCTTTGCTTGGATCTCACCCTCTTCATGCTGAATGATCTCAAGGTGGCACTTCTTCTCAAGTCCAGTGCTATCAATTTCTCTCACAAGGCGCATGGCATGGCAAAAATCTTCTGAGGTGAGTGTTGCGTCCACAAACAACTGCGTGTCATTGTGGCAAAATTGTGTGATTGCATTGTGCTGATGCATTGATAAGGTAGGCTTATCTTGTGCACGCAGCCGGAATATGCCAAGGGCCCCCTTGTTTGCGTCATTTATTGCAGGCATCCATGCAGCATCATGCTCCTCAGTACTGGCTTGGTGAATTGTGCCGCCTGGCGCATATTCAGTTGTGAATGATTCCCACTTGTTGAGTGCTCCCTGGAATAGGGCTAGTGTGATTGGACACAGATGCTCAAGCTTGGAGGCAAGTTTGAATGCTGCAGCCATAGCAGCAGGATTAAAACAGAGCCGACCACCAAAGCAAGCTGTCTTGGGGGCCACATTAGCACCAAAGATCAGCTCGGGATTGGTAAAAATGAGTTTGAGGTGCTGTTTCAGTTCCGTGTAATGGTCCCAAGTCCAGCACATTGAGAGACTCTGTGCCTGGCCCCCAAACCATCTGTGAATATGGATGTGAGACTGTACCACCATATAACACAATGGCAACAACCTCTGTCATTGTCTTCGAACAGTGGAGAGCCTTGTACAAGTTGAGTTCCATATGATTGAGTTTCCAGTGATCCTTCTTATCTCGTACAAATTCCAGAAACTTGAGTATAGCTTGATGATCCATGAGAACCACCTCCACAGCTTCGATGTGAGACTGGAACCTGACATTGCTTGTGTCGGGAAATTGACTGGCCACCAGCCCTATGTTTTCCATGTACCAGCAATATGTATCATGCTGGCCTTTCTTCTTATCTTTATTATTGAAGATTCTGCCTGCAAGACTGATTGTTTTTACTGCTCCTCAGCTTGACTCATTCAGTGCACGCACCTCAGCAGGAGTTGGCTCACAATCAGCACCATGACAAGCACCCTGTACCGTTGCACCATTATCCTGGTTTGCAAGGAGCACTGGCCCTTTAATGCCAAGTTAATCCCATTTGGCCATCATTGCATCATTTTTGTCAGGCAACAGATATGAAGCTATATAACAACACCCAATGTCTGGCCAAGTCCTTGCTGAAAGGCGGTGTATCAGAGTGTGTAGTTGAAGAGTATCTGTATAAGCGCAAATCCAAACTAATATTGAACTAAGAAATAATACATTGAGTATGTACTTCCTTATATAGTGAACAACAATGGTCTGACCAACTAACTAACCAATAAGAAAAGAAAGACTCGGAGAAAGTGGTCCAATCTATCGTATTTACTAATTGCATGAGAGAAAATATTGGTAAAAGATGTACAATTGGCTGTATCAGTAAGCCCATGAGAAGGTGCTGATTCATAGCCTTCCTCGCTTATCAATATCCCTCTGAAGTATTCCCAGACATAGCATTGGATCATTGCTATGTCATCTGGATATCTTCTTGAGGGTCTACAACAGTTCTCCTTTGTTGTAAGTACGATAGGACGTGAGTATGAATGGAAAATAAGAACAAAAAGGATAAGAGTAATAGAATGCCAACTGTAATCTCTAGTCCAAGAACAAGAGGAGTGACAGGGAATGAATCGGATAACCACAACATGATGGGAATGCAATGAGAAAAGAGAAAAATTGATTCCTCACAATTAACTCCCAATAATCAGAGGCCAGTGGCAGCACAGCTAAAGTAATGCAGTGCGGCCAAGCCATTACATGAATAAACCTTTGTGAACCAACCACATGGCAAAGGGTCGAGTCTTCCATGCTGGAACTTAGAATGCGCAATTTGTGAAAGAACTGCTACATTTTGTCTCTTCTTTGATAGTATAGAAGAAGAAAAACAATCATAAATTTTCAGATTTCAGCTGCGTTCTAGCCTGTCCAAGCCACTGTTGATATTCTGAAACTTGGTTACATAAAGCCAAAGTCAGCACCACATCAAAGCTTAGCATACAGGACCTATAATAGTTTGCCTAGGTGGGGTATTTTACTCACAAAGAAATATGTATGCTAATGTTGGGGCTCTCAGCCTTGATCTTAATAATCCACCTTGGAACCAAAGGTGATACATTAGAACTAAGGACCGAACTGATGCATTGAAATAAGTTAGGCCGATACATGATTGAATGATGGACCTTGAGTGGTGTTTGGGCACACCGTTTACTCATAATCTTAGATAATGACAGTACAGCTGTTGTGGACCTTGTAATACTTAAATCTGATTGCTTTCCGCTGTCATGCACCAAAGTTGATTGGTAGCATGGACAGGTGTCAATAATGAAGCGAATATTCAAAAGACTCGCCTTTGCGCCACACAGGCACAGTGCCACGTGGAATAGTAATTAATATTGCCCTTTTTGAACTTGTGGCTGATCAGCACCACCTCTATTAGGCAATCCAGTCACGCTCACCTTTGCTTTTCCATCTGGTACTTTCCATGTTTCGGCATTTCGGCAAATTTTTGCGTCGCCACTGGCTACACATTGCATTGCGCCCTCGCTTTTGTCGTTTCCCTTACTCCCCTTCCTTTGCCTAGCCCCACCATGGGCCCCTTCCTCTCATTTTTATTCTCACCTGATGGTCGTTTCTGGATCCCCATTCTAATCCACTTTTCCGTCACCTCCACCCTCCTCCTCCTCATTTTATTTGCTCCCCCACCATTTCTGATGTCACCACTTCCTATCCACTTCCGTCGCCGATCCGTTGACTACCACGTGCCACTGCTGATATCAGCAAAGCCCCGGCAGCCGGTTCAAATAGGGCAACAGGTCCATCTCTATGACGTTGATCTACCATCATATACTATCAAAACATCGGTCGCTCGTCTTGCCTGGTTGGAGCGTGGGTGGGTAATTTTTGAGCTGGAGAAGGTTCATCCCCTTGCGTCGCCCATGTTCATCGCTGTCCCATTCACTTGGGTACACTTATCTTTTGTCCATCGTCTTCGCTACAGCTACACCTACCACATGCTGCCTGGGACTCACTTGTTCCAAATTGGAACTACTCCTCTCCCTCCCTTGTTTGATCAGGTGGTCCAACACAACCAGTCCATTGGTAAGGCCATGGAACTGTCGGATTTGGACTAGGTGGTGGACCGGTGGCTCTAGTTTCTTTTTCTTCAGCAGAACATTCATTTACAGTGCGATTATTTTTGATTTTTGAATCATTTTTATGGACACATATTTTTTTAGAATGCCTGACTGACAATAAAAGAACTGTGTTGATACTGATAGTGTTTTGCCTTGCCCTTTTTTTACTGCATCTTCCCATGACATCATGATTTTCCTGCTCTCTTTTTGCTATTGGACTTTACTTTATGGCTGTACAAACCTGTGACATTACTCACAGCATTTATTGTTTTATCCCTTTCTTTTCCTTTTTTTGACAATCTTATCCTGTACTACCTACACAGGATTTGTCAGCATACATTCCTTCCTTCATATTCTTTCTCATTCTTTTTGCACAGCTATACTATGCATAGCCTACTTTTCTTTCACTATATAAACCCCTGTATTTTACCTTGTAAAAAAAACAAGAACTCCAATCCAGACTTCTTCTCTACTCTCAAGTTCACTACTCTGCTACTTGTGATCCAGTGTGGTCACAACACTTCCCACTTCTACCACTGTCAACTGCTGTCATCGTCACTTCCCACTTTTGAAGTCATTGTCATCCCTTTCGATTAGAGTCCTTCTGAGCACTACAGTTTGTGCGTCAGAAGCCTGCTATCACTGAGAACCTCGTCACCTCGTCATCCTCGTCGTTCTCAAACCTACCTTGTGCTACCATTAGCAAGGTAGTGCTCGTCTATACTCGCCACAAAGCACCTATCTTCCTATAAATTCAACTATCCCTCCTCCTCAAAACCCACACTCATACACCTCTGGGTTTTACTTTGAAGGATCTTTATACGTACCACCCCACGAACAACCAGACCACTCCACTGTTCTAGGAGGCAAAGCCCATAAACAAGTTCCGTGGAATCTGGGAGGATTGTGTGTTAGTTTGTTTTGTGTGTGGTTTTCTACAGTTCTCATCATCGACACCGCCAAACTGATGATCCAGCCAAAATTATTATATTATGTAATTCACACAGTGCTTTGGTATACACTTCATTGTTGTCATCAATTCTGAATCATTATACTGATAAATACAGCTATCAGACAGCGAAAAAGTTATAGACAAACATTTGTATATATATAATACTGAATAAAATCAATCTCATCCTTCAATCCCTGTCAGGCAACAAATACGAAGCTATATAACAAAGCTCAATGTCTGGTCAAGTCCTTCTTTGAAGGCGGTGAATCAGAGTATGAGAATGAAGAGTATCGGTAAGAGCGCAAATCCAAACTAATATTGAACTGGAGAACAATACATCAAGTATGTACTTCTCTATATAGTGAACGACGATAGTCAGACCGAGAAAGGGAAGTACTGAGAAAGTGGTCTGACCAGCTAGCTAACCAATAAGAAAAAAGGAAGAAAGTGGTCCGATCTATTGTCTTTACTAATCGTACGAGAAAGCGTATTGGTAAGGGATGTACGATTGGCTGTATCAGTAAGCCCATGAGAAGGCGCTGACTCACAACCTTCTTCGCTTATCAATATTCCTCCGAAGTATTCCCAGACATAGCACTGGACCGTGACTATGTCATCTGGATATCTTCTCGAGGGTCGACAACGAGTCTACCTCGTTGTAGGTACGATAGAACGTGAGTGTGAAGAGAGAATAAGAAGAAAAATGATAAAAGTAATAAGACACCTGCTGTAATCTCTAGTCCAAGGGCAAGAGGAGTGACGGGGATCGAGTCTGCTAACCACGACATGACGGGAATGCGATAAGAAAAATTGATTCCTCACATTAGCTCCCCTTTTTATAAGACTCGTGTCCTCATGAGTCCGGATGCGGCACTTTGGAACTTGTTACTAATCCAATCAAAGAGCATTGGAGGTTTGGAAGTGGCGGTGTAGTTTTCGTAAGGACGGAAGTGGAGAGAAGCGGTAATAATCCGAGGGGCGGCTGGATTTGTTTTATGGAAGGCGGCGAGTAAATCAGCGACATGCGTAAGATTGGTGTCGGGTTCCCAAGTTCGTTCGGAGACTGGATAACCATGCCAGTGAATGAGGTAGTCGAGTTTACTACCTTTCAGTTTGGTCGGTCTGGAAGCGATTATACTCTCTACTTCGTATTCGTCTATTCCTTCCACGATCTCGGGTGGTGGTCGCGAGGAAATTGGTTGATTGATGAATTCGGGAGCGTGGTATGGGGAGAGGATGGCTTCGTTGAATACGGGATGAATGGACTTCCAACTTTTAGGGACATCGAGTTGATAGGCGGAGGGTCCGACCTTTTGGGTGACTTTGAAAGGTCCGAAGCGTTTATCGTCTAATTTCTTCATTGGTCTATCCGTTGTGATGTTATGCCCTTCTAACCAGACTTTGTCGCCAGCTTGATACTCCCGGGAGGGGGATTTCTTACGGTCGTAATACTTCTTCAGATTCTCGTTTGCTACAAGAAGGGAGGATTTCGTGATATCGTGGAGTTTTTTCATTTGCTCGCTAAATTCTGCTGCAGAAGCGGATCGAGGGGACAACGTGGTGGTGACATTCGTTCTTGGGTGTAACCTATAGTTCAAAAAGAAGGGTGTTTGATTCGTTGCGGTATGGAGGTGGTTGTTGTATGTAAACTCAGCAATGGAGAGCCAGTCTGCCCAGTCATCTTGTCGGTGATTTATAAAAACGCGGAGGTAGTGCTCTAGATCCTGGTTGATCCGTTCGGATTGTCCGTCTGTTTGAGGGTGATAGCCTGTAGAGAGGCCTGGTGTTATCCCCATTAGGTCGTAAAAGTCTTTTGTGAATCGAGACATGAATTGAGGACCTCGATCGGAGACGATCTTTTCAGGAACTCCGTGGAGTTGTATTACATTATCTCGGAGTTGACGTGCATAACTGGCTGAGTCGAGAGTGACGAAGGTGGGGATGAAATGGGCCATTTTACTAAATCGGTCAACAAAGACCTGAACGGCGGTGTAGCCCTTGGATTCCGGTAATGTGCCTATGAGATCGGTGGTGATAATCTGCCAAGGCCGATCTGGTACCGGGTTCGGGTGTAGAGGGGCGTTAGGCTTTGTCCGATGTGCCTTGGTACGTTGACAACTCTCGCATCCTCGTACATACCGTCTGATATCAGTACGAAGACTTGGCCACCAGAGCTCTCGGCTCACTCGTTCAAACATTGTTCTTTCTCCTGGGTGTCCAGCCAGGGCTTCGTCGTGATGATCTTTCAATATTTGCGCCCTTAGTTCGTGATTTCGGGGAACGTATACTCGGTCAGCTAATGGGATCGGGTAGGAACTCGTCGCGGACTCTCTCTTGATCCAGACGATCCTATCCTTCATCTTCCAGGTATCCGGCTTCTCTTTCAAATTCTTCTTTACTACGTCGTCTTGTTTCTGGAAACTTCGACGTATATCTGGTAGGTATCCTTCATTGGTGTCAAGTACTTCGAAATGTACGTCTGGGAGAAGTATCTGATCCTCGTTATCGTTTGTGCCTTTAGGATGATCAATCCGTCTGCTTAACAGGTCGGCCTTCGTATTCTGATTTCCTTTGACGTGTTCCATCTTAAAATTATAATCTGCAAGCTGGGATGACCATCGAGCTTGGCGTCGATTGTATTTCTGCGGTTGACCGAAGTAGAGGAGGTTTTGGTGATCTGTGAAGATGGTGAAGGGGTGTTTCGATCCTACAAGGTGATGTCGCCATTCATCTAACGCCGTCATGACTGCGAGCATCTCTTTGTCGTAAATTTCATAGTTCCGTTCTGCAGGGGTAAGGGCTTTCGAGAGGAACGCTATGGGTCTGAATTTGTCGTTTTGTTTCTGGGATAGGACGGCTCCTACAGCGAAGTCAGAGGCATCGGTTTCTAGTTTGAATGGGTCGTCGTCGTTTGGTATAGCAAGGGTGGGGGCAGTAGTAAGCGTTTTCTTCAACGTTTCAAAGGACGTCTCTTGTTCGTCTTTCCAGGTCCAGTCAACTTTTCCGGTGAGCACAGTGAGTGGTTTCGCAATTCGTCCGTAGTCTTTAACAAATCGTCGATAGAAATTGGAGAACCCTAAGAATGATTGGAGTTCCCTTTTGTTCTTTGGTGCGGGCCAGTCAGCGACCGCTGCGACTTTTAACGGATCCATACGGATAGTGTCTTTGGAGATGATCATGCCTAAGTACTCGACTTCCTGTTTCTCGAATTCGCACTTCTTTGGTTTAAGATACAACTGATTTTGTTGCAGGATACGGAGGACTTTGGTGACTATTTGACGATGTTCTTCGAGTGTTTCCGTGAAGATCATAATATCGTCTAAATATACAATAACTTTTCCTTCCGTGATCAGTTCTCTTAGGAGGTGGTCCATCATGGTCTGGAAGGTTGCTGGCGAGTTGGTAAGTCCGAAAAACATGACGAGGGGTTCGAACAGGCCGCGATTGGTCCTGAAAGCGGCCTTGTGTTCGTCTCCTTCTTGGATTCGGACGTTGTTGTATCCCCATTGTACGTCTAGTTTCGTGAAGTAATTGGCACCTTTGAGTTTATCGATAAGTTCGGATATGAGGGGGAGGGTGTAGCGATTCTTTATGGTAAGCTCATTCAGCCTGCGATAGTCTTGGACAGGGCGTAGTGAGCCATCTTTCTTTTTGATAAAGAAGAATGGTGATGCGTAAGGTGATTTGGATACTCGAATCCGTCCACTTGTTAGATTTTCGTTAAGGAATTCGTCTAGATGGTGTTGTTCGTCTCGGCTAAGAGGGTACGTTTTGCAGTCAAGACCATTAGCCTCGGGTATTAGCTCAATTGCATGGTCCCAAGGACGTTTCGGGGGAAGTTTGTCGAATGATTCTTTGGTGAAGACGGGTTCAAATTCATGGTAGATTGGAGGAACAACATCTCGGAAGGTGAGCTTTGACTTTGCCTTTTCGGAGGATTCAGCGATTTGTTGACTTTTAGTGGCAAAGGCGTTCAATTCTAGCTGTGTTATTTCCATAATTCGTGTTTCAAGATCTACGGCTAGAACTTTATCCCCTTCTTCAGGATGATACTCCGGATCATCAGCAGGGAAGGTAATCTTGTTGGTCCGCCAATCAATTGTTGGATTCGTCAGTATCAACCAGTCGTATCCAAGCAGTATGCGTGGTGAAAGTAGGGATGCTACGATGACATCTATCAAATGTTCTTTCCCTTTCACATTGATGTGAAGAGTGATATAGTGTGTCACTTTCTGGGATCGACCATCGGCTCCTGCAGCGTCAAGAGGGACGGGCAGATGCGTAGTATTGAGGGTGTACTTGTCAACCAGGCTTCGATCAATAACTGAGTTGGTGCAACCAGAGTCGATAAGGGTTGGGACGGTGAATGTCTGTCTGTCGTCTATGGTAGTGACTTGAGAAATGACGTGGAGGCTTCGTTTTGACGTAGGGTTGTGCGGCGAGGTGTAAGCATGGATGCGTTCTATAATGTTCTCTTCGTCGTGGTTCTTTAGCATCTGTATCGCCTGCAGGGTGATATGCTCGTAGTGATCTTTATGGGCCCAGTTTCGTAACAGAGCTCTTGCTCTTTCTGGTTTCTGGTCTTTGATTCGTCTGGCCAACCATTCCGGTGAATGTGGCTTTGCGTAGGTTTCGGTTACAGCACGTAGATGTTGATCAACTCGTTTTATTGCAGTCGTTGGTAATATACGAGGGTTAATTACAACATTTCGGGTCAGAGAGTCCGTGCTTACTCCTGACCTTTCTGAAAATCCTTCGGGGGTGCTTCGATTTCTTTTAATGACGATGTAGTGGGAGTGTCTTTGGTTTCCTCCGTTTCCATATATCGTATTGCCATCTTTCCATGTGGGCAATTTCTAGCAATGTGGCCTCGTTCGCCACAGTTGTAACAAGTAACATTCGGGTTGGGCCGATGTTGTCTCTGCGTGTTGGAACTCCCAATCTCCATAGGTACACCTGATCCTCCAAACGTTCCTGCTGTGTTTGGATGGACTGCATTCTGGGGCGGTGGTCTATGAGATGGAGTATAATACGGTCGCTGTTGGATATATTGTGGTCTTCGCGTCTCTGTTCGCGGTACTGTCTGTCGATACTGTGGCGGAGGGTAGTCTCGGTTCTGCTGATAGCGCGGTTGATATCGTTGGTACTGAGTTGGCAGCCTCTGTTGAGGTGGTTTATCTCTCCTCCTTTCCAGATTAAGCTCTTCATTTCGCTGTTCCCATTTCCTTGCCGCTGCCTTCCACTCTAAGTACGTGGTGGGTAGGTTTTCCTGTTGCGAGATACGATCACGAAGGAATTGAGAGAGGTTGCGGCGAAGGATACTGTGAATGAACGGATAACTTTCATCTGCGTCTGGTGGTAATCCCGCTTCCATGAGTTTGGATTCGAGTCCTCCAAAATATGCGTCTACCGTCATCTCTCGCTGTTCGTAATCGTGAAGGGCAATCTCTGCTTTCAACTTGAGATGGGGGTCCAAGAATTCGTTATCTAATTCCTTGATGAATTCTGAGATAGTTCCCCAATTTCGCGGTGCAAATAGGTCTCCTAGCACTGCGGTTTTGTTGTTGAAATTCGCCTTCCATGTATGACAGGCGTCATTGGCTTTATCGGACGAGATCCGGGATAGTGCAAAGAGAATTTTGGAGGAGTTGGTTTGGAAACTTCTGGGATAGGCGAAAAAGTAGTTTGCTAAAGCGTTCTTCCAGTCAACGTATGTTTCCTTTTTACCGATGAATTCGAATGGAGGAGTGGCAAGGACAGCTTTACTTCCTTGATTTGTTTCGTCGGCCATTGCTGCTGCTAGATCAGGTTCAAGGTCCAAAGATTCCTGATCGAACCAATCGTCGGGTTGGTTTTCGGGTTCTGGAGTTGGAGGTGGGGGAGGAAAGTTTTCTGGTCCTGCTGATTGATACAGATCGTCTGGTTCTAGAGCTTCAGCAGCAGCTCCTAGAGATTGTGGGGGAGGTGTGTCGGGAGTGACCAGAGGACGGGGTTCTCGATAGGGCTCCAGATTTTCAACGGCTTAGATCACGGGTTTTTTAGATAACAAGTCTTTCTAGATAACTAGTCCTTTTTTGTTTACTCAAAGTCTGGGTCAAACGTAAAATTACTAGGGAAGTCTCCTCCTTCTGCTTCTCGGGGTCTCCAGTATTCTACGCTTTGAGTAGACTCTTCACTTTCCGACTCGGTTTCGCTGCTAGATTCTCCTCCAAGTATATCTGTTAATGAACTTCCTGTTTCTCGTTCTATCCTTTCTGCGCAAGGTGCAAAAAGTTGTTCAACCGACGGGATGAGCGGTGCTTCTCCTCTCCGACCTTGGTAGGTGTAAGAGTACTGCGAATAGATACGAGTTCGTGAGCTATGGTTGATAACGGCCCAGAAATCGCTTTGGAGTACTGTAACAATGAAACGTTCGGGGTGATCAGATTGTTGGTTAACAACAAATGGAGTGAGGATTTCTAGGATCCAGTAATATTCGTCGACGTATTCTGAAACGTGTCGAATGTTGTCGATTTCGGTCGTGTAGTCTTCTCCGTCACGGGATTTCCTCTGAGCAGTCGCGATGAGCTGATCAAATCGTGCTAACGCAGCAACAACTCGTCGAATATGATCTTTAGTAGAGGGCGTGACGATTATAATAGAAGTGCTGTGTTGAAGACCAAACCGCGGCCCGAATGCGTCAAGATCTTGGACTTCAGGGAGGTAGAGAGTTCGGCGAAGTCGTGTCAGATTTTGGACAATAGAAAGGTGGTCCAGATGATTGCCGATGCAGAAGTACTGGATGGGTTGGTAACTGACAGGAGAGGCGGAGTAGGTGTTGTAGTAGTCAGATGTAAAAAATGAGGACGGGATATCGTAGGTAGGTTCCTCGTTAGGCCTCTTCCTTAACACAATGCCGCAAAGCAAGGTGTGTTCGAAGTCGTAAGGGAGGAGGCGGTTGGGTATGTCTGGAAAAATGAGAGGGCGGATTTGATAAAGATCGAGGAGATCTGGGATGTGGCTCTGCGGAATAAGTTGCAGGTTTCGTTCTTGTACGTTGGCTATTCCTTTCAAAAGCTTAACCCTCTGAGTGTTCTCGTAACTCGGGCGTACTAGGCTCTCGAAGTAGTCTATCAACGGAATTTGTTCGTGCCGCAGGGATATGAAGATTAAAAGTTCTCTCTGTGCTCTGTCGGAGATGTTGGAGTATCTCCTCGAGACTGCGAGAATTTCTCCTACAGATGGCGGAATGGTAAAAGATGGATTGGGTGAGAGCGAGTGCGTCGTTTATGTCGAGGATGATATCCTCGATCGGATCAATTGGTGAAGACGAAGCAGAGGAGTCTTGATACAACTCAGTGATCTGTTCGACCGTTCCTTCCACGTCTGGAGTACGGGCTTTGGTAGGGACGGGGAGGACCGGGAGCGGTTTGTTGAGAGCTGCGAGGAAATCTTTTTGGTGTCTGCGGTCCGCTTCTGATACCCACTCTTCTGAGAGCTGTTGGGAGGTAGACACGATGGAGGTATACGACGTCGCTGACGAGTCCGGTTTGTAGGTATCTGATGATGGCAAAGAACGCAAAGAATTGGACGAGAGCGGTGATGGTAGAGAAAGCGTCCAGTTTGAGAAGACTGAACGACAATAGGTGTAATGGGGTGGATAGTGAGAGGTCGATGACGATAGTGAGGAGAGGGATAGGGATGGTAGAGAGGTGGAGAAGGTGATGATGAAGGTTTAGACCGGTGCAATGGCAACGACAGTCTGTTTTAGGGTGTAAGGAAACGGTTTCCCAAAAAGGGGCTCTGGAAAAGGATTCGAGGTAGGTGAGTTCAATATTTTGTCAGGCAACAAATACGAAGCTATATAACAAAGCTCAATGTCTGGTCAAGTCCTTCTTTGAAGGCGGTGAATCAGAGTATGAGAATGAAGAGTATCGGTAAGAGCGCAAATCCAAACTAATATTGAACTGGAGAACAATACATCAAGTATGTACTTCTCTATATAGTGAACGACGATAGTCAGACCGAGAAAGGGAAGTACTGAGAAAGTGGTCTGACCAGCTAGCTAACCAATAAGAAAAAAGGAAGAAAGTGGTCCGATCTATTGTCTTTACTAATCGTACGAGAAAGCGTATTGGTAAGGGATGTACGATTGGCTGTATCAGTAAGCCCATGAGAAGGCGCTGACTCACAACCTTCTTCGCTTATCAATATTCCTCCGAAGTATTCCCAGACATAGCACTGGACCGTGACTATGTCATCTGGATATCTTCTCGAGGGTCGACAACGAGTCTACCTCGTTGTAGGTACGATAGAACGTGAGTGTGAAGAGAGAATAAGAAGAAAAATGATAAAAGTAATAAGACACCTGCTGTAATCTCTAGTCCAAGGGCAAGAGGAGTGACGGGGATCGAGTCTGCTAACCACGACATGACGGGAATGCGATAAGAAAAATTGATTCCTCACACCGACCATAGTATGTTTGTTCAGAACTCTGTTCACAAGTCTCCAATAACATTTTAGAATGTGTTTGCAGAGAGGCTGACTCCTTTTGGTTTTGATTCTTTTCAGATCTCCGTGGTGGACTTAATGCACGAGTTTGAGCTTGGTGTATGGAAGTCAACCTTCACCCATCTCATCTGTCTTCTCTTTTCCATCAGTCACTCAGCCGTTGCTGATTTAGATGCAAGGTTTGTAAGCAAAATATATTTTCTAATTTATCTGACTTCCTTATAGGTATCGTCAAATTCTTCCCTTTGGCCAAGGAAACATTTGCGCATTCGTTACAAATATATCTGAGATGAGAAAATTAGCAGCAAGGAACTTTGAGGATATACTGCAGGTATAGTTTTTCTATTTGTTCCGAGACATGCTTACTTATTGACCTGTAGTACTTTATGCCGGCTTTCAAAGGCTTATTTCCCCCAGAGCACGATAAAATAGTACAAACCCTCCTTTTCCGACTGTCTGAATGGCATGCACTTTCCAAGTTACATATTCACACAAAATCTACTCTGGAATTACTAGACACGGCGCTTAAAGCCCTTTGCAAGCAAGCCCGCCAATTTCAGGACATTACATGTTCAGCTTTCAAGACAATGGAATTACCACGTGAAAAGGCTGCTTGTCTTTGGAGGCTGAAAGACAAACCCACTCTGAGTAAGGCAGAAGGGACCGGTACCCGTAATAAGGTATTCAATCTGGGTACTTACAAGTTTCACGCACTTGCAGACTATGTGCACACAATTTGCCTCTTTGGTTGCATGGACTTGTATACCACACAAATAGCTGAGTTTACATCCCCTAAAAAACCTAATTAAACCACAATAATACTTCTGTAATAGGGTGAATTAGCACATCGCTTGGTTAAACACTTTTATAGGCGTACCAACAAAACGCAAGTCATAAAGCAGCTTTTGATCCAAGAGCTGCGCCTCAGGAGGATGATGCGTAATGAGCCAGAACCTACCTTACACCCTCACCATCAAGCTCCCAAAGACACCCACAATAATGAAGGTGTTGAAAGGCAGGAACAAGGGTCCAACATCCAGGTGCACCATCACATATTGTCATATCGTCATAACCCCTTGGATCTCCACTCATTCCTTGGGAAGTTCCCTGTGGACAACCCTGCAATAATGGTACAAAATTCTGACAATAGTATAATCCATTGCACTGACTGTGAATTTACAGTCATTCATTCCTCAATTAAAAAGCCACTTACTAGGATGTGTCATGAATCTCGAATATGATGGAGACAAAACTGACTTCACGCCCCTGCAGCGGAATGATCTTCAAATAGTCAATAATCATATATATTTGATGCAGCTTTTTCAAGTAAACTATGTTACATATAATGTCAAGTGCGATAGAGACTCACTCAACCCTCGCATTGGTTGCAATGTCATGGTGAAGTCTCACGAGAAAAACGCATCCCACCCCTTTTGGTACGCTAGGGTTTTTGGAGTGTTCCATACTCAAGTTCTCCATGTTGGACCAAACACCATCAACTCCTCCGTTCAATACATGGAATTTTTATGGGTACGTTGGTATGCTAAGGTGACTGGACACAGATTGGGTTTCAAGGTTGCTCAGTTACCCAAGATTGGTTTTGTAGATTTGGGGGATAAGGTCTCTCAATTTGGCTTCTTGGACCCTTTGCTGGTTATTTGCAGCTGTAACCTCATCCCCGCCTTCCATGATGAACAAACCTCTGCCTTATTGAGGCCAGGCCCATCTGCTAGCCATGCTCCTGGTGAGTCTGATGATTAGAGCGCATATTATGTTAACATGTAAGTTTTTCCTTCCCTGTTGACTGTTTACATTGGCTTACCAAGAGCAGTTTTGTTGATTGCAACATGTTCATGAGATTCTGTGGGGGTGGCATTAGCCATATGGCTTGCTCGCAATTGGTCTTGAGCAAAGATATAGTCGACAAGGCATCTGACAAGGAGGAGGATGTGACGGTGCACAGTAGAAGACCTTAGAGGGAGTGTATAGCTGGAGTTTACAGATCAATTCAGGCAGACCAACCAACCACCAGTGGGGCAAGGTCAGCAGAGAAAAGGCTGGCATTTGATGGGGTCCAGGTGATGGAGGACAAAGACGAGGTTGACCCCGAAGAGGAGGATATGGACATCAATGCCGTGGAAATGGACTTTGATGATGGGGAGTTTGATGACAACAACAAGGACAAGCCTGATATATTTGACAATTTTGATGACTTATGATGCAGTATCTTCATTTCAACACCTCTTTCGCTTTACATTACAGATCCCCCATACCAGTATATCACTCAGTAACTTGGAACTATTTCATAGTGGCTTCTCACTATCTTGTTCATGTGAAACATGGACATTGATAATTAGGATGCTATATAGTACATGTACTTGGAACCAACCCGTAGACTTTTGCTCTCAGAAAGCTTGACACTAATATTGAAATATCACTGTACTGTGTGTGATTGCTGAATCCACTAAGTTGGATATCGTAGTCATGGCACCAAATTTATTACTAAGTTTACCTTGTAATTACAAATGGCTAGAAAGCCAAGTCAAATCAGATACTATACTTACCAAGAAGTTGTAAGGTGTCGCATTTTTTATCCCTAGCAAATCGAGCTTGGAGCACCCGCGGACCATTATGGGTGCAAATATCATAAGCTCAAAAAATTACGAAGACTTCATCATGCCATTGTCGACATCTGACATATATTAGGTGTTAGAGATACCATTTATTGCAAGTGCAAAACAATTGATGGCTTTGCTATGTAGTTTGAAAGAACTCACATTGTTAAATCTCTATTGATAGGCTTATTGTGGACTCAGCATATTGTGATATAATTACTGCACAGTCATAAATATTGACGTGAATTGAACTGCACTGATAAAGAGTTGTAGACAACTGACATTAGTTGACCATTGTGGATATGAATATCATGAACTAAAAAAGTCATGTTAACCTTGTCACGTTATTGCAGATGTCCCACCCTTGTTGAGCTTATTGGAGGGAGTTATCGTAAGCTCAAAAATTTGAACGTCATTGCAATATAGTTGAAAGGAACTTACACTAATGGTTCTTCATGGATGCGCCTGTCATCAGATCAGATTGTTGCAATTGCATTATTGTTCAGTTGTGTACCAAGAAAATTGAGCGGTCATTCAGATATAAGGTCCTAATGGACAGGAATTATTGTGACATTTTACAATGCCTTGGAATGTATTTATATTCCGCTAACAAAAATGAAAATCTGAATAACATATCAACTGGGTTACATTCTCATATACCTTGAGTATAACAGCCACAATCATGTCGGGATATGTACAAACCACAAAATGCCATATCATGATCATTGGGGTTTCTTGATGAGACTATGGCCCACAAATGCCACCCAATGTTTTACACAAACTATTGACTAGTTCTCCCAGATCATCATTCCTGCCGAACTTGGTTTCTCTATCCCCTTTACCTTACACAACCACCCTCGATGGAGCAGCTTGCTCAAGTCATTGAGACCGAGTGTCACTTTTCTTTGAGTAAGCCTTCCACCAACAATATCCCAGGTAGACAAGGACCTTCTGATGGCAAATATTTTGGAAAGGATTACTCTATTGCAACATCTAATCATAGGCCATGGTATGCTCCTCCTCTGTTATTGTTTTGGCACATCTCATCGGAGAATGTAGCTTGTGCAAATTGATTTATGAGTTTTAAATTAATCCTTTCTCTTGCCTCTCTATCCCACCTAGAAAATCTGACTTTGCACTCAGCAATAGACTGTTATTCTAGTTGTGATTGCTCTTGAGATTCACATGACAGTACCAGCGCATTCTCCTCATTATGCAACATCACTTTTG